GACCCGGGAGAAGCCGCCCCGCTGGGCCGGCGACTGTCAGCGGCTCTGTCCTCGGAGGTTTCGCCGGCCGTGCGAGCCGCAGGCTGCCCTGTGTGCACGGGCACTGTGGCCTGCCGCGCGAGTGCAGCGTCGCGTTCCCGCGCGACGAATGGTGACCTTGGGCGTCACCCTCACCTTTCGGTTGGCCCGCCGCCTCCACCCCATCTCTGGACAACCAGCGTGCCCGGTGGGCAGCAGCTCAGCCCAGCCGCCCCGTGACCAGCGGCAGTGCTGGCCCCCACCGGGTGTGGGCGGGGTGGTGGTGCTCGGGCGGTGTCTTCGTGGTGAGGCGTCCTCCCCTTCCATTCCGAAGACCTGTTCCCAGCCAGGCTCCGTGTGCGGATGGAGGTGCGGCGCCGGCTTGCGGGGCCAGGGAGCACGCAGCTTCCATCTAAGATGGCCTGGCTGTCTGCTCTTTGCTACCAGCCAGAACCCACTGGCCTCGTGTGTAGGGTCACCAGTCACTGTGCGGCTGGGCCCACTCCAGGGCAGCTCACCACCGTGCAAGTCAAATGGGGTTTACTTTTATTAGATCTAAAAGAATTTCTCCCCAACAAATGATGAACACCACTGCCTCCCCTTTCTAAACCATGAGTCTGACTGTGAGGAGCAGGTGACAGATCCTGGGCTTCATCTCCAACACTTAGGTCTGCCCCTCGGCCACTGTGCACTGCCGCCAAGCAAAAGAATGGCCAGAATTTGGACGAGGACTCGGGGCCAAGTGGACAGAAGGCTGACCCCCCCTCCCCAGAGAAGGCACTCTTGGAAGAGAAGGTGAAACTGGAGGGACAGCTGAAGGAGACCATGGTAAGACCTCGCAGGGGCACAGCTTGCTGGCCTGGCACTTCCGCTGCTCAGCCACCTCATCCCCTATTTGGGGGAACCTCCCTCAGGAGCTGGGGTCATTGGTAGCATGGAGGAGAGTGGCACACATTCAAAGCCTCAGTTGTGAGCCGTGTGGAACTGCTCCAAACCCTAGATTGAAGTAGAGTATCCTCCCTGAGGGAGACAGGTCCATGGAGTGCCCTGGTCAGCCTCTGAGTTGTGTTGGACAGGCCAAACTGCAGCAAATGTCCATCGTCTGCCCAGGTCTTTGTGGACCCAGCTCTGTGGTGAGAGTCATCTTGTGTGCTCCATAAATGGTAGTGAGTTAAGGCCTACAACGGTTTGTGCACAGGAGAGCTTCAAGCAGGCAATTTAAGGTGGATGCTGGGGAAGGATCTAAGCAGTTACAAGAGCTGCATGCCCAGTGGGGAGGGAGGGGTTTTATGAACTGTTAAGTCGTGTGGACGGTTCCACGTGAAAGCGCCCACTTCTCTAAGGACTTACAGAGGATGTAAAGCTCTTCAAGTGCCAACACGGAAGCAATCTTCAGTACCCTGTGAGTTAACTGCTCTGCCTCTACCCCCTTTCAGATAAGGAAACTGAGGCATCCAAAGTTTATGTAAACTTGCCAAGATCACCTGCTGCCAAGTGGCAGTGCCAGGATTTGAACTGGGGGCAGCCGCCCTCTCTAGTGAGAGAGGGAATGCTAGGATTTCAGGAGTGGTGGTGAGCGGCAGGGTGGGAGGACTGGCAGTTAGCAGCTGTCACACAGGGAAGGTATAACCTGGGTGCTCTGGGCATCTGTTCCTCCAGGCCTGACGCGCCTGCTCTGGTCTCCACTGCAGCATCTGCCCTGGAGTTCAGGGCCAGGGTGGTGGCTGGTCACCTGCCAAGCACCTGTTGTCTCTAAGTGGTCTTGTTCCTCAGAGACAGGTGTGGTGTGAGCGGGGGTGTGCGCTGCAGCCTCGGTCTGGTTGGCCTCCTGTGGATTTGTTCTGTTTTGTTCGTGGATATTTCTCTCTAGGAAAAATACAAGCGTGCTTTGGCAGACACTGAGAACTTGCGGCAAAGAAGTCAGAAATTAGTGGAAGAGGCAAAATTATATGGTACCTGTGAGGGTGGCACGGGTGCTGGGAGAGGGTCATCAGGCTGGCAGGGGCCATGTCCAGAGCAGCAGCCAGTAGGGGAAGGCTGAGTGGCAGGGTGGCCTGGGGTGGGTGGCAGGGTGGCCTGGGGTGTGTGCCAGAGTCCTGAGAGCCCGCTTCCTGGGCCTTCCACGTCCTGCCGACACTTGGCCCTACTCATCAAGCCCATTCTGAGTCTGGGCGACACGCAGCCTCACGGGACACAGTTGCCCCGTGGGGTTCCCGAACCTGTGACTCGGACGGTTTTGTCCTTCCAAGGAGAGCACCCGTGGGTTTGAGCTGCAGGCAGGCAGCCCCACATGGGACCCACAGGGCTGTTGACGAAGCAGCAGGAGCACCACCCTCCCCCCCCCAGGTGCTCACTTCTCCCCTCACTGCAGGCATCCAGGGCTTCTGCAAGGACTTGCTGGAGGTCGCAGACATCCTGGAGAAGGCCACGCAGAGCGTTCCTCAAGACCAGGTCCGCGAGGACAACCCCCACCTCAAGAGCCTGTACGAGGGCCTGGTCATGACGGAGGTCCAGATCCAGAAGGTCTTCACCAAGCACGGCCTGCTCAGGCTGGACCCTGTCGGGGCCAAGTTCGACCCCTACGAACACGAGGCCCTGTTCCATGCTCCGGTGGAGGGCAAGGAGCCGGGCACGGTGGCGCTGGTCAGCAAGGTGGGCTACAAGCTGCATGGCCGCACGCTGCGGCCCGCTCTGGTCGGCGTGGTCAAGGAGGCATAGGTGCCGGGTGAGGCTACCTGGTGCAGTCACTGCGGGGACTGGCCTGCCTGCCATCTCTGCTCCCACTGCTCGGGACTCCCGGCCTGCCTGGGGTCCACAAGCAGCCGGCAGCCACAGAGGCACACGTTGTTGCCCAATGGTGTTGACTGCCAGGTCTGCCCCTGGGTTTTCAGTTTTTTATTCCTAGATCCCTGTTCTTGGGGGACCCGGGGGACATTGCAGGGCCGATAGGGTGTCATGGATCACACGGTCTGCTCAAGCTGGTGTCACGAGGCTTTTAAACCAATAAAGCATCTTTAGGACCTGGGCCTGCCGTCTCTTCCCAGCTCACTTCTCCGCCCGGGTGCGGCCCTCAGAAGGGGCAGGGGCAGAGCTGTGGTGCTTTTCCATGGAGGTGCCTGTGAGGCATGCCCGGAGTCTTCACGGGAGGATCGTGTGTCAGGGCTGCAGGTGTTATTGGCAGTATCTGTATTCCTGTCCCGTACCTGTTTACAGACCCTCAGCCCGGGCACAGCCCTGGTGCGCTCGGGTGCTGGGCTGAGCTGCTAACCTGTGTGGAAGACTCAGTGTGTAAAGTCCACTGGGTTCACTCCATGGGCACTGCTGGCTCCTGGGGAGGCACCCTGGGCAGGGCCTTCACTGTTCTCCTGTACCTGGGACAACAGGTGCCCTCGGGGTGAGCAGCCCTCAGGAAGGAGCCGCCTCCCAGTCTGCTCATGGGAGGACCTGGGCCTCTGCAGCTGACCCCACCCCGAGGTCCTCCACACACAGGGACACCCGTTCCCATAGCTGATGCAGCCAGCACTGAGAGGACAACATGCCGCCGTTGCGCCTAACCACTTGCTGGCCAGAGAGTGGTACAGCATCGTCATGCTGTGCCCTCAAGAGACCTGGATGGATTCCACGAGTCCCTAATGCTCAGAAACCTATTGGGGGTGTCTGGTACCCAGTTGGTGGGCACTAGAGGCAGTCAGAAGTCTTCCTCAGACCCTCTGCCAGGTGCCATCCCGGGACAATGCCCGTTGGTGGCCCCTGCTCAGACCAAGTGTCAGGGAGGGGCTGGTGGGAAGCAGGCCTGAGGCTGACCGAGCTAAAGGCAGGCCTGTGCTGCTCTGGTGCTTGAGGGGGCGGTCTTCGGTCTTCCTCATTTTAGGTGCTCCAGGTCCAAACAAGCCAAAAGTGGGATGATGGTGTTAGCTCAGAGGGGACACTCATACTTTTCTCGGCTCTGTCCTCCCCGACCCCACAGGGCCTAGGGGCCATTCTGATTAGGAGATGGCAGACACACACCTGCCAGAGCTGGGGCCCCGCAGACCAGCAGTCCTCATGCTCCCCACGATCCCCCAGGGCTGGAGCGAGCGGGTGCCGAGCCCTGAGTGTTACCACCGGGTGAGACAGGTGTGACTAGCACCAGGCCCACTGCAGGTCAGAAGTCCGCCTGGGCTCGGCCACGGAAGAAGGTGCCAATAGGTAGTCATCTTGGAGAGACCAGTGTTTCTCTCAAATGACTTTAATGTGACCTCAGGTGCAGGTGCTTGGGCAGGCACAACCAGAGTTCTCGTGGGGAGCGCCTCCTGGCCTAGGGCGGCAATGGCCAGAGAGGGTGGCAAAGTCTGGCTGGGCTGAGGCAACCACACAGAACGTACCCCACGGAGATCCCGCAGCGCAGCCCTGAGTCAGCTAGTCCTAGAGGGGGGCTCCCAGAGGCAGGGCGGCACTGAGGACAGGTCTGGGAACAGCAGGCCTGGGGATGGGCAGGCAGGGAGGCCCTCCCCGCCCGGAGCGGATCACAGGCTCAGCACAAGACAAGCTCTTGCAGCTGCTGCTGGCCGTGGGGGTGCCCTCGGGGTGGCTGTGCCCCACCAGAACCTCACAGGATCTCTGGACTCCCCGCCCCACCCGTCTAAAGTGCCTCGTGCCAGTCTGTGCTGCTGGGCGGCCACCGGGAGCACGGCCGCCTGCCCACACAGCTCCGTTCGCAGCCGGCCGCTAAAAGCACGCGCCTGTGCGCCGGAGGTTTGCTCTCAGAGGGCCTGAGCCAGACGGTGGGGGGCAGCCTCAGGCTGCATCCCTGGAGATCCAGCCGCTCTCGGTGAGGAAGCTCAGAATCCTCTTCTTCAGGACCTTGTCCAGGTAGCTGGGGAGACGGCTCTTGGCCGGCACCCCCTGGCGCTTCTGCAGGTGGTCTTTGATGATAATGGTCTTGACGGTGACGTAGCGCGCAGGGCTCAGGCTCAGCGAGCTGCACAGCACCTTCTCGCGGTCTGAGAGCAGCTCGAAGCCCGGCAGGTGCTCGATGGCCGCGAACTCGCCCTCGCGGCCGTCCTCCCGGCCCCGCCGCCAGGCGGCCAGGCCCTTGCTCTCCTTGCGCTTCTCGCGCTTGTGCCGCGCCGCCTCATACTCCGCCGACTCCTCCATCTTGGTGATGCCGTTGCGGCGGTAGCGCTGCAGCTCGCGGATCTTGGCGCGCAGCGCCTTCTCCTTGTGCATGCTCTCGAAGAGCTCGTCCAGCTCCCGGCACGGCAGGAACTGGCACAGCGGGCGCAGGCGCAGCCGCAGCTCCCTCTCCTCCTTGGCCACCTTGCGCCGCGCGGCGCGCTCCCTGTCCTTGCGGTCCTTGCCCAGGAAGGCGGGCACCAGGTTGTAGTCTCGCGCGATGTTCTTGCGCCGCTGCCTCTCGCGCAGCTTGCGCACGTACATGTCCACGTGCGCGCGCTTGAGCTCGATCTCCACGTCCTCGTCATCGTAGTTGACCGAGAGCCCGCTGATGAGCGCCTCGGCCTCCTGGTCGTACTCCACCTCGTAGTCGTCGCGCAGCGGCATGTAGCCCAGCTGCTGCTGCTCGGCCGCCGAGATCTCCAGCGGGGGCAGCGGCGTGGTCAGGCTGGGCGAGAGCGGGCCGCCGCCGGGGCACGTGTGGTCCGTGACGCGGTTCGGGATGGTGTCGGGGATGCAGGCCTTGCCCAGGTTGCCGTGCACGTACATGCTCACGTAGTGCTCCATCACCTCCTGCGGCGTCCGCGATGCGCCCACGTGCGCCGCCATGTCCTCCTGCAACGAGAGGGCATGCTCGAGACCAGCCACATCCACTGTGGGCAGACCCGGGAGTGAAGGTGGGGACATCCATCCACCAAGCCGCCTGCAGTGGCACCGGTCACAGCGGGTGGAACGACCCTCACTGTCCACTTACAGGGGACGGCGGCGCTCACAGCAGGGGCCATCCACACAGGGAACCCACTGCTCAGAGAGAAACAGATCCCAGTGTCCACCTGTAGGTGGGGCACTCACCCAGTCTGGACCCTCCCCTCAGCATAGAAGGGCCCTGGAAAAGCCCTAGACCCCCAGGGTCTGCTGTTCTGTGGCCCCCTAACTGGTATGACACAGAGACCAGAGGTGGCCAGCGGTTGGCGGGGGGAGGGGGGGGCGGGGTCACCATGTGAGATCATGCGCACAACTGCACACCGTGCAGAATGCCAGCAGGGTTGCCAAGTGGGGCTTGTAGGGGGAGCTGGGGGAAGGGGTTAGCAGCACCTGGCTGGCACTGCCAGCTCCCCAGTCCAGCCCCCCACCCTGCACAGGGCACCGTGACTCAGCAGCGGGTGCTGCAGGAGCTGGGGCGGCCCCTGGGAGCCCCGACTCCAGCTTATTAATGGCAGGAAGCTGTAGGCCGCCCTCAATCTCTTCCTCCACCAAGGGGCCTCTTCCTCACCGGCGACCACGAAACCGCGCCAGTGAGACCAGAGCGTGGCTCGCTCAGCCGCCGTCCTCTCCCCTCCCCTCCCCTCCCTGATGGCCGCAGGGTCCTGACAGTGGGGGCCCTGGGCAGAGCGGCATCTGGCCAGGGCCATCCCCTTTACAGTGCTTCTGAGCTGCACTTGGAGAAGGTGTACCTGTCACCTGAGCGCCCCCCAACCACCACCAACCCCTCTCACCTATGCTCAAGGCCACATGGTGAGGGGGGCGGAGGGTGACATCGCATGAGACCACACGTCAGGCAACCAGTCCAGTCCTCCTCCCAGCTCACTTCCATGACAGTGGGCAGCACCTGGCCCCACCCACCCTCAATGTCCCTGTCCCTCAGCACTGGGTCAGTAGGGGCCACTACCCACAAGCTCCAGCCTGGTCAGGGCTCCTGTCCAGAGGGCAGGATGGCTGCAGAGCTGACTGCTGACCCTGCCGACCTGGGGCCACTGAGGAACACAAGCAGTGACCACCAGCCCGGGGTGTGGTCTGTGTCTTTTCTCAGCGGGGGTGGGGGTGGGCGGCACGCAGAGCTGCCTGGGGGTGTCAGAGGGGCAAAGGGCTCCTCGCTCGCCTGCAGCTGGGGCCACGGGCCCGCTCTGGGTGGCAGCCTTGCCACTGCACAGCCTTAGCATGTCGACTCACGAGGCCCAGGGGCTGGACGCAGGCTCAGAGCCACGTGAGAGAGCATGCTGCCATGACAACCTGCAGGGCCCTGGACAGGCAGGACGTGGCACCCAGACCTGGACAGCCATGGGGCAACTCTGCAGTTTCTCAGTTTTGGGGCATGTCTCAAATTATTTAAAAATAAAGTCTAAGAAGTAAAGTTGCACTGCGCCTCAGAAGCCTGTTTCAGAAGGAGCAAGAGCTGCAAATTACGTCCCGGTGGTGGGTAAGGAAGGTGGGGGCACTGTGGTGCCCTCCACGTTGGCCAGCGAGGCCATGGGACCCACACACTGTCACAGAAAATGTCTACACCCTTCAGGCAGGGGGGCAGAGCATGACCACTGGCCACAGCCTGCGCCAGGTATCCCCTTCACACCTCAGGCATCTGAATGTCACCTTCCTGCCAGGACTCAGAGCCTCGGAGGGACCCCAGCACTGTGGACTCAGGCCACAAGTCAGAGGGTTGGTACCTGCCCGCCAGGGCCCCCATCAGCCAACAACACTGGCCGCGCTGCTGCCAGCCACAGCAGAATCACCCAGGGAGCCCGGGCTGGGTCTCAGGGACAGTCCAGACCAGAGCACGATGCACAGGCCACCCCTGTAGTTACAGGCGAGATGGCTTCTCCCAGCCTGACCCGCCAGTGGGCACGAGACTGGCCTTCCTCCTGCAAGGGAGGGGACGGTCTGTCACCTCACGAGGGTGAAGGGGAAGGCCAGCGACCCCTCAGCAGTCCAGGCCAAGCACGTGTGTAAGTTGCCACAGCCCCATGGCTGTCCAGGCTGTCCCGACGGGCAGTGGCAGACTGACGGGGGTGGACAGCAGAAGGGGCTCCTGGGAAGAAGCTGGCTGGATGAGTGGAAACAGGAGGTGGGGCGGGGCCACGGATTAAGGGAAAGGTGGTTGTCTGGAGGCTGGGCAGATGGAAGGATGAAGGGATGAGGGCATGGATGAGGAGGAGGGTGGGTGGGGGATGACGGATGGCTGGGCGATGGGCAGATAGTGATGGATGCATGGGTATATGGGTATAAAGACAGAAGCAACACACAAGTTTGGGGAAATGAAATTTGAAAAGCAGGTTCTCCTATAGAATGGCCAAAACAGGAACACTATTCTACACGGGGAATGCCTTTCCTACCACAGCCCACTGTCACACACTGAGGTGAGTGTTTGCATGTGTGTGTGTGTGTGTGTGCGCGCGCGCGCACACATGTGCCTATGAGTCGCCCAAAGTTCACAGAGACAAGCACAGTTTGAGTGCCTTTCTGTTGGCTGTTGAGAAGAAACAGCCTGCTCTTTGCAGGGGGGTGACGAGGAGGATTAGCAGTTGACCCCTTTCATGGAGGTGAAGGCAGCAAAAGGGGCTCCTGACAGTGGGCCTGGCAAGCTGACCCAGGGCCCCCAGGCTGCAGCTCCAGCAAAAGGAGGACCCGAGTCAGGAGCCGCCAGCCCCATGGTGGCCGAGGGGCCTTCTGGCCTCTGCTTGGACCACAAGCATAGGTCTCAGTGCCCAAGGAGGCAGGAGGCACGGTCCGAGACTCATCCTGAGAGAATGCTCACAGTTGGTCCCTCCCGGGAAACTGGACGTGCCCACCGCACACTCAGCCACCTTTGCCACCGAGCCCTGCCGCTCATGCCCATCAGACACAGATTCCCCTGGGCCCTCCCTGCCCCCCACGACAACCGCAGCAGCACAGTCACCGGCTGCACCACCTGTGGGGGAGAGAGAAGGGAAGGGAGAAGAACCTGTCAGTCTGCAGGCAGCTCGGCTCCCTAAGCCAGTTGGTCTACAGCCGGACGGGACCAGGGTCACGACAGACAGCACCAGAGAGAAGGGACGGACCGACCAGCCCGGTTAAGACAAGAGGTCATTCCCAGACTGCTGCCCCTGGGCACTGGCTCAGATTCTGTGCATCTGTGGCCACCACCTAAGACATGTGTGGCCCATCCTGTACACGTGGACAGGCACCCAGAGACGTGTCCAAAGCTGCACGAGGCCCAAAGAGCCGATCAACTAGGCCAGGCTGGTGGGCCAGAGAGGAGCGCCACTCCCCAGAGTGGGCAGAGCACTGGAGACAGGTGCGGAATGCAGATGCCAGGCCTCACTTTGGCCCAAGACGCAGCCCCTGCCCTGTAACGGAGGCCTGTGTGCACGCTAAAGTTGGGCAGGCAGTGTGGGGAAGCCTGCCACCCAGGGCTGAAGCCGGGGCTGGCAGGAGATGCTGTCCAAGAGCTCGAAGTCCCTGTGGGTCCTCACACCTCCTGGCTTGGGGTGGCAGCTTGCTGAGGTGTGGATGGGCAGTGGAAAGATCAGACTCAGCAGGGGACGGGGGAGCCACAGGGGTAGCAGTATGAAAAGTCACGTACTGGCCTTTTCTCTTACGCCTTCACGCGGAGAGTGGACGGTGCTTGGCCTGCAGTGCCCAGAACTGAGGGGCCCATGCCAGGCATGGGGACCAGGGTCACCGGCTCCCAGCATGGAGAACCAGGTTCGCAGCCCAGGGGCATAAGCAGTGAGCCTGGGGGCAGGCGTGGGGGATTCCCTGTGGCGAAGTGGAGAGTGAGGCAGGGTTGGGGTACTCTTCCCAGAGGCATGGGCTATAAGCTGGGACCGGAGTCCCCAGCCTGAAATGGGGGCAGTGAACCGGGATCCGGGTCTCCAGGCCTGAGGAGTGGGCGGTGAGTGAGGGTCCAGGGTCCTCAGGCCCGAGTTGCGGACAGAGGAGTCCGGGCCCCCAGACCCCAGGGCGCACTCACCCAGTTGCCGAAGCCGAACTGCTCGATGGCGTCCAGCAGCAGCTGCTCCTCGCGGCTGGTCCAGCCGCCCTCGGCTTCGGGTCCCCAGAGCGTGAAGCGGCCGCCGTCCACCAGCTGGTAGCCGTGGTATCGGCGGTGGTGGCCGATCTCGGCGCCCGCCGAGAAGCACTCGGGGCACAGCTCGATGTCCTGACACTCGGTGCAGCGGAAGCGCAGCGGGCTGACCTCCGCCAGGCAGTACACACAGTACTTCTTGCCGAGCTCCGCCATCTTCCCACTGGGC